CCCCCAGAATAAGAACCGACTTGGAGTTGCTGGGGGACTGGACGGTTCTCTGCCAGTTCTTGGGCCCTGGGGAAGGACTGACTGGTTCTGGTGCTCAGGAAGTAGTCTGGTGAAGGCTGCCTAGGGACAGAAGGTGGTGCCCCTGGGTGTGGATAGGAGGGCGTCCTCAGTGACCACAGTCTGGTGGAGAGTCAAGGAAGTCCTGAGTGCCCAGCAGGTGTGGGTTGACGATTCTCATTACTCATCCAGGAGGGAGTGTCTAGGTGTGGGTATGTCTAGGTGTGGGTATTCAGATATGGGTAACCAGGCGTGGGTGTCCAGGTGTGTGTAACCAGATGTGGGTATACAGGTGGGGTTCTTAAGGATTCATGACATGAGTTGATTTCCTGCACTTGCTCTGGGCCTGAGATTCCTTTATCTAGTGTAATTATCCTTGTTTGGCACCTGTTGTTTTGGGTGAGCATATCAGGGTCTACATTTAAATAGACCTTGTTTACATTTTAAAAAGCAGTAGAGAGCCCATGGGCTGTGCCCTGGCTTTTAAAAGATTTATTAGCAGCCATTTTATTTCTACATGGAGGGATTGACCTTTAAAAAGAATGTGTATTTTAATTTATGAGAACATTGCAAAGAGGCATAGGAACCCTCCTGTGTCACCCACCACCGGCAGCCTCTGCACTTAGGCACATCCCTGCCAACCTCGTCCTGTGACATTTCACCTGCAAATTCAGGGTCAGCCCCAGTGTGCAGACTTCCTCTTCTGAACACGAGGGGATGCCGATATCTCAACTCTTCCAATTCCACAGGGTTATAAACAGCCACGACTCAGTTTCCCCATCAAAAGTACATTTAAATATGTAAACAGATATGTAAATATTTGAAAGGAGCCAGACAGGATCTACACCTTGCCATCGGTCAGTTGGTCCATCTTTCAAGGCCTTTTTTCATCTGTGGGTCTCAGCCTCGTTATTTGTTGAAGTCACTGGGCTTTGTCCTGTGCGGGTCTTCAGACAATTCTGCTGATTGCATTCCTGTGGTATTGGTGTGTTTTTTTCCCTCTACTTCCTATAAACTGGTGACTTGAAGTTTGATATATTCGGTTTTTTTTTTTGTTTTTTTGTTTTTAACAAGAATACTGCATAGGTCATGTGTTTGTTATCCTACTTTCCATCTCTTTTGGTATACCTCTGGGCATTTGTGAAGATGATCTGTATTTTTTGTTAGATTTGTATTTTTCATTTTGATGCCTTTAAGGTTTTTATAATACTCTTGTCTTCTCTTTTGGGGGACTATTTTCTGTTGGTTTCCTCTGTACCATTTAAATTAACCAGTAGTTGTTCCTTCTCTGCCTTTTCTCCCCTGAGCTGGGAATTGGAAGTAATCTCTTTTTACTCCCAGTTATAATCTAGGACCCAGCACTTTGGGAGATCAAGGCAGGAGGATTGCTTGATCCCTGTGGTTGGGGATCAGCCTGGGCAACATAGGGGGACCTTATCTCTATAAAAAATTAAAAAAGTTAGTTGGGCACAGTGGGGCCTGTAGTCCCAGTTACTCGGGAGATTGAGGCAGAAGGATTGCCTGAGCCTGGAAGATTGAGGCTGTAGTGAGCTGCGATTAGACCACTGCACTCTAGCCTGAGGGGCAGAGTGAGATTCTGACTTAAAAAAAACAAAACAAAAAACAAGCCTCTATGACAATCAGTGAGCAGCTTCTGCTTTCCAGAACTCCCCTACTCCCCCTGTCTCTGGCCATGCTGGCACTGCCTGCACATGGGAGCACATGGGAGGCCCAGCCTGTCTCCTTTGTGCTTCAAGCAGTCCTAGGTACACTGGGAGGTCTGCATCTATGTCTACCCCGAGAGTCGGGCTTTCTGCAACTCACCCAGCAGAGACCCTGGGAGGTGCTAGCGGCAAGCGTGTCCTGAGTGGCATGTGTGCAGCAGCTAGTGTACGGCCTTGCCCAACTTCAAGGTCAGGCTGGCAGATGCCAAGTCCTCGGCCAGTTGCACACCTTTGCTCTGGTGTCTTTATCATTCTTTGACACAGTGTTATCTTTTGTCAAAATCCGATGGTCGTCTGGCTTTCTCTCCCTCCCATTGGCTGTGTGCCCATCCCCTAGGAATGTTTGTCCTCCATTTTTTGAAGCGGGGTGGTTTCCTGGCCTTGGTGCTGTGGCTGCCTTTCCCGTGGACTTGGTGTGCTGCTTAGTGTGTGACTGCATGAGTTCTGCAACCTCCACACAGGTTTCCTTCACTGTGTGCTCCATCCTCTGCTGGCTCTGGGAACGCCACAGGGTGGATGCAGTCTTCCTTATGTCTTTGTACCTGTCACTTTCTCGTGAATTCTTTCCATCCCATCATAGTTTGTGTGAACGTAACATCTTTCCTCCTTCTCGTCCAAGGCACTGTTCACTTTTATCCACTCTGTGTTCGTTCCCTCTCCCCATATTTGCAGAAATGATTTTTTTTTTTTTTTTTTTGAGACAGGGTCTTGCTCTTTCAACCAGGCTGGAGGATAGTGTCACCATCGCAGCTCACCTCAGCCTCGGCCTCTTGGGCTCAAGTGATCCTCCTGCTTCAGCCTCCCAGAGAGCTAGGATCACAAGCATTAGCCACTGTGCCTGGACTATTTCATTTCTAATTCTTTCATTAGTTCTTTTGCCTCCATTTTCAAATCTCCTTTTTTCTCTAATCAGCTCATTTCTGAGTTTTAAACATTCTGATTTATGCTTTTTTTAAAATAGTTTCCCTCATGTACTTGATGTATCCCGGCTTGTTTTGAGATTCCAGGTTGTCCTTGCCTCTGTGACACTGGATGTGATGTCATTGTTGATGCAGAGGTCTCCTGGAATTCATCTGAGCTTTCCTGGCTTCTGGGTGGCCCAGGTGCAAGTGCCCAGCTCCTCGGTGCTTCAGGAAATACTGAGAAACTCAGGCTGTACTTCCTTCACCCAAGGTCTTGTTTTTGTCTCTGCCTCTGCCCACCCCCCTGACACCCCCGACCTCTCCCCTTGGCCCTCTTTTGCTTGTCAAGATTTCATTCCCAGCAGGTGTTAGTCATAGGACCCAGCCCACTCCAGAACATTCCGTGGCATTAAGCACATGCACAGCAGGGCCCTCTGCTGGGCTTTCCATGCTTGGGTAGAGTCACTCTTCTGCATGATCTTTTCAGCATAAAGTTTGATAACTTTTGGGTTATCAAATCTGGACCAAAGCCTTGCAATTTAAACAAAATGTGCTTCCAAAATTAGTTATTAAAAATGTGTTGTGGGGACAAAGTTACGGCCGTATAATAACTGCCTGGACACGAATTTCCATGGAAATGAGCACTCTAGGGCCCACCTGACATGAGTTTTCTAAGTTTATTGTTTATGACAAAATACAGAGGCTGATCTCATCCCAGTGCCGGGGAGCTGGGGACTGAGCTGGTATACCTGTGGAACGTTGATAAGAAGTGACACGTGTGGGCCATGGCTTGTTTGGTGAGAGTTCTTGAGTTCTGAAGGAGCCGTGTGTCTTCGTAGCTTTAAAAGCATTAAACCACACGGTACTGTCTAATGAAAGTAACATCTTCCCTTAATTAGGTGCATTTTTTGCTCCCTGCCTTTTTTTTTTTTTTCCAGTGAAAAATTTGCGTGTCTCTAATTATAGTCATTTGAAAAAAAATGTTGCCAGGGCTTGACATAATATTAATCCAGATTTTCAAAAATACTAAATTTCCTTCCTTGTTCCTCTGGTTAACTGTAGGTGTAAGTGACATGCTAGGAGATGACAGTTTCAGAACTGACCTCTTTCTCTCTTGCCTGGGGATGGGGGGAGGGGCGTTATTGGAGAGGCGCAAGGGGCAACTCCCAGGGGAGATTTGGAAACTCATTTTTAAATTCTGGAAAATGGAGCAAGATTGTTTTCAGACGCATCCTCCTGTTTTCTCAAAAGAGATGGGGGAAATCATTTCACACACGGCCGATTGTCGAGCCCTCCCAGGGCGGGGCTGATTGTGCTGCCTGGGAGCAAACGCCATCCAAGAAGATTTGGGGAAAAGGAGCCTCATACAGACATGGCGCGAGGGGTTCAGGCAGACTCCAATACGCTGCTTCTGTCCACTTGCATGCTTGTAAACCAGTGCCATTGTTTTGGTCTCATTATTTTGTTTTTCTTATTCAAATGTGGGATGGCTGCCGCATGAACTATGGCAGCCATGATCTGATTAGCGACTTAGGAAACAGTGAATGGTGTCTGACCCCTCACCAGAAATGTCGGCTTCTGGGAGTGCGTCTGCTGAGGGGGATGGTGGCTGTGCATGCCCCACCACACGTGGGACCACAGGGGCCTCCGGACGGGCTCAGGCTGTGGCCTCGACGCGTGTGCCAGATTGAGGTCTGATGTGCCGCCGAGTTGTGTTTGCCACCCAGCGTCACTGTTCTGGAGTCCTGTCGCCGAAACTGGAGAATTCTGCCACGTTTCCCACTTCCAAAGCCCGGGATTCGCGAAATCTGTGCCCGACTGCCTGCCAAGGCTCGCGGGGCTCCAGCGCCGGGCACGCGCGGGTGTAAAAGCCGGGCAGATCTGCTCACTCGAGAAAATCTGTCTCTGCAGGTTTGCCTTGAGCTCCAGCTGCAGAGCCTGGTGTGTATGTGCTACAGGGGCACCCCAGGTTCCTTCTGGAGGATGGGTCTCCAAGTGAGACTGGAACTCGACCACCTGGGGCTCCTTGGACATGTAGCCCTGCTGGACTGGGGGCTGGGCACAGGCCTGGCCGTCTTAAACTCTCTGGATGATTCTGTGCAGGCAAGACTTTGGGAACCATGGCCTGGGTGTGGAAATGCTTGGGCCTTGTCCCAGCTGTTGGGTTGTGTAGTTGGGAAGTCGAAGCCCTAGTGGCTTTGTCGGCCCCCCAGTGTCAGGGTGTCCCACGGGGCGTGACTCTCAGTTCTCCTTCTGTCAACCAAGAAGATAGATCGGAGTTTCAGTTAGTCCAGACAGGAAGGCAGACCGCTGCCGCATGGTGGTCAGCCCCGCGGGCAAGGCCTCGAGAAACGACCTGTGCAGGGGTGGGGGAGGGGTGTTTAAGAGGATGGACAGGATTGTGTTCCCTGCGATGGAACCCTTGGAGGCTGCCCTTGAAGGCCGCCCTTGGAGGCTGCCCTCAGAGGCTGCCTTTGGAGGCCGCTGTGCTCCTGGAATGGAGTCTGTGTCTGCAGCTACTTTGAGGCTCAGGGCCTCCTTTGGTCTGCATTTTGCATCCAGCACGACCCCCGGAGGTGCCTGCTCCTTCTGCCTGCAGCTTCCCCCAGCGTTCCCCGCCCCTTCTGACCTACCTGTGCTGGACCCTCCATCCCCTCCACCTCCGGATGGGTCAGGTGGGCTCTCCTGGGCCCTCACTTCTCCACAGCACTTCATAATTCTGTCTTGTGTAGTGACTGGTATGCGGCTCACCCTGCAGCTGCACAGACTCTCCTGGGTGTGTGGGGAGGCCAGGCCTTCTTCATGGCTGTTGAGGCCATTAGGATGAGGAAGCCGGGCCTTCTTCACTGCTGCCATGGCAGATGGGGTGGGGAGGTCAGGCCTTCTTCATGGAAGCTGTGGTCAGGGGGGTGGGGAGGCCAGGCCTTCTCAGCTGCCGAGGCCAGTGGGGTGGGGAGGCCAGGCCTCCTCCTTGCTGCCTAGGGCTGTACACACAGGCCTTGTTTTGGGTGAGCGAGAGGTGGGCAGTCCCCACCGTGCCCCAGAACACGTGGCTAGTCACATGCCTACTTTGGATGGAGGTGTGGTCTTAGTTTCTGGAAGGCTCCGGGGTGCGTCCACCCTGTGATCCTGACCCTGGCCCTGGACAGGCAGGGCCAGCAGACAGTGGACTCTCCCGACTTGGTTCTCTGGGCCTGGCCTGTGCTGGTCTTCTAGCAGCGGGAAGGGAGAGGCAGCCATGGTGAAGGAGGCCAGGAAAGAAGGTTTGGGGAGCGACTGGTCCTGTCCCTGGGGCTTCCCAGGAGCTCTACCTCCTTTGCAGAAGCTGGTGGACTGTGCTTCCTGCCACCCTCTCCCAGGTCCACCTGGGGCAAGACACGTACAACTTGCCCCCTCTGAGCAGCCTGGCTGGAGCAAGGGACTTCCTCACCTGTTCTCCAAGGGGAAGACCCAACGGCAGCTTCAGGATGCCGTGAGCAGCAATTGTCTAAGGCAAAAACCAGCCTGTGTGACTTAATACAGGAGCAGCCACTGCATGCACGGATGCATCTTAAAACACCTGCATCGAAGTGGACAGCTCATTTTCTCTTTGCCCTTTTTTTGAGTCAAGTTTTCACTCCATCGCCCAGGCTGGTGCATGGTGCCCTCATGGCTCACCACAATCTAGAACCTTCCATTTCAGGTGGTCTTCCCACCTCAGCCTCCTGAGTAATTGGGATGATGGGCACATGCTACCACAAGGCTCGCTGTGTTGCCCAGGCTGGTCTTGAACTCCTGGACTCAAGTGATCTTTCCTCCTTGGCCTCCCAGAGTGCTGGATGGCAGGCATAAGCTGCTGCACCTGTACTTACTTTTCTTAGATATGGGATTTCAAGGCCAGAGGGTGAAGGAACCTCGGGCTGAGGGGACTCTCGCCTTTGGTGGAGCCTGCAGCTGTGGCTGATGACTGTGTGGCTTTGGGTTTTGTATATTTGGGACTCAGCACCCGTTGTATCCATTGTGAACTCCTGCTGGTCGGGAGGGGCCATCCTTGTGCTTGGTCTTACTCTTCTGCACCAGGTAGTCTTCCTATAACTTGATTCTCTCCTGCTTGCCCACCCCACTTTCCTCCCCATAGGCGTCTTTCCGCACTCCCTCTACTTAGACTGCCTACCGTACTCCTGCCACCATGCGCAGTTATTATGCAGTGGCATCACAGGACTATTTATGGAGTGTAAGGTCTTCGGTGGACTCAGAGGTGCTGTCAGATCCTGAACGCTGGATCCTGCCTACAGATGTCAAAACTGAGGCTTGCAGAGGTCCCACAGGCCTCCCTGGAGTTCACGTTGCTGGGACTGGAATTGTGCGTGTCTGACTCCAAACCCACAGCTGTTCCCGTGACATCCCTGTCGTCTCAGGGGTTATGAGGCTCCCCCAGGCCCAGAGGATCCTGACCTCTCCAGTCTCTAGGTTTGGGTCCTGCTTCCAGACTTTAAAATAGTGCTGGAGAAAGGCGCAAAGCAGGCTCCACTTTTCTTTCTAGCACCTCTTTTTGGAAATAGTATCCAACTTAGAGTTGCAAGCAGAGTCTGTACTCCCCCAGATGCTGTTACCATTTCACCAAGTTTGCTTTGTCTGTTTTTATACAAATTACTCTTTCTGGACCACTTGAGAGTAAGTTGCTAACTGTGCCTCCTGGCTGTGCCCCCTGGAGCGCCGGGGAAGGGGTCCCAGTCTGGTTTTCCTGGGGGCATCGAGGCCACCTAGGGCGAGCCCCTTGCCTGCAGCCGGGTCCTGTCTCCTCTCCCTTCAGCGATGCCTCCTCTCCCTCCAGCGATGCCAGCTGCAGGGAGGACATAGTACTGCGCTGTCTGGTCTTCACACTGACCTCATGGTCTCAAATGCACTCACTACCTTCCTGACATTGCACCCCTTGACCCTGAGAACACCAGTCTCTTCTGTGGCTGGCCAGTGTCTGAGGGGAGGGGTGCTCTCATCCCCAGAGCTAGGCTGCTCCTGCTCCTGCCCTGCCTCTACCAGTGACCTTCTCTCCAGAACACTCCCCAGCTGCCGCCACAAATGAAGTCCTTTTTCGTCTTGTTTTTGCTTCCTTTGGTGTAAACCAGCCCTGTGGACATAAAACGACATTTCTGAAAGTGGAAACAGGAGGAAAGTCTTCCTGTCTGCTGTGTGTAGGGTGGCAGGAGGGGCAGTCCCCTCATCTGACAGGTTCATTAAAGTAGGTTTCAGAATACATTTAGGGAAAGTGTGCTGATTTACCCATTATGATGAAAATTAGCTTAAATATCTATTTAAGTCAAGGATAATTCCTAGCATTTTTAAGAACCAGAAAATCAGACCTTCTAAAATGTAGATCACGTTGAAGACAGGGCTTAAAATGTACCTGGGGGCGTGACCCAGAGGCCAGGATGGATGGGCACACACGTGTGCACCACACACAGAACAGAATTCAAGAGGAAGGAATGCTGGCGTGCCACGACTGTGGACATTGGGGGCACTCAACCTACTAACGTACAAGACACGGAACAGATCCTGGTAGGTACCTGGATTAGGACGGCCATGGAGACAGTCCAGGCAAGGTGATGACTGGGGAGGGTGGCCAGTGGGTGCCGTGCTTTAGTTTGACATGCAAAGGTCTGGAAGGGGATGACAGCGCTGGCTGCCTGGCAGCATGAATATGCTGAATGCTGCTCACTGCAGGCTTGCAGATGACTGGAATGGTCAACTTGTGTGTGTGTGTGTGTGTGTGTGTGTGTGTGTGACCATAACAAGACATTTATTAAATGTTGCAGTTGATGCATGGGGGGGGTGTATGTACACAGTGAACACAGATATATGCGTGCATACATGTTACCATAACAAGACATTTACCAAATGCTGCAGTTAACATATGAGATATGTATATGTATACATACACATGCACACGGATACACAGAGGCACTCGCATGTGTGTATGTGTATGGATGTTCGTCTCTAATGTTCCCTTTGGTGTCTGGATCTAGGTGTCTTGGGGCTGGGACCAACACTTAGGTGTCTGACATCCTGTTTCTGGAAGTTCTTGTTGCCCCTTCATGCCATCTCCTTGCTGAGCCTGTGGGGTGGCGTGTTGTAGGTCTGCATCTCCCGGGAGGCAATGTGGGGTGGTGATGAGCCATCCTGGAGCATCTTGCAGGTCCAGTGCTGGGGAGGGTTGCTGGAACAAACCTGGGCAAGGGGCACTTCATGCCCATGATCACAGCGGGCCTGGACCTCATGGACTCCCTGACCATGCCACTTGTGCCTCTCCACAGTGTCCTTCACTGTCATGGGTCAAGGACTCCCACCCGCTCCTCACAGGTGGCCAGGCCTGTCTGGCGTTTATGGGACCGGATCCTCAGTGTTTCTTATCTGGTTCCATTTCAATGGGTTTCCAGAAACCAGAACACGGAAATCTGCGTATTTACAGTAGGGTCTGCACTGGACCTTGGGAAACACCCGCTGGAAACGAGAATGACCCTGTTCCGCCCCGCTGGTCCCAATCCCTGCGCCTGTCACGTCCAGGCCTTATCTGGCTCCCCGGGCTGGCCCCATAATGGCCGAGGAAGGCTTCCTCTCTGCCATCTGGTCTGAGATCAGAAGGGAAGTCCTGTTTCCTCTCACACAGGCCGTGTTTTTCTTAGGATGAGTGATGGGGGCCAGGCGTCCTGTGAACGAATGTCTTCATTGCTGGTGATGCATGTGTGACCAGAAGGAATTCTGTAAGAGGAGGAACTGGGACAGCATCTTCTTTGGGTACTGAATGATCACGTGTTTTCACAATGGTCACCAGCTTTACCAGACGTCGGGGTGGGGGGGCGTGTTCATGCTCCACGTTTAGGCCCTTATTCTAGTCTTGTGTCCAGAGAGTGATGGAGCAGCATAGCCGGTGCTTAGTGACATTGTGTAATACAAGAGAGTCGCTGCTGACCACTCCTGCCACAGCAGATGAGGGACGCATGTGTCGAATGCTGAGCTGTCAAGGGGCTTCTGCATTGTGACCCTCTCGTGGCATATTTAGTTCCAAGCATATGGGGTGTCAGGATCAAATCAGGGTACTTGGGGCACTCATCACCTCAGCCACCATTGCTCAGAGCCTAATCTGTCCCAGATACTGGAACAGACATTGCATAATCATGAGATATCCTGTGCCCAACGTATTACCGTTTCTTCTAAGTATTTAATTGCAGATACTAGAATTTGGGGGCTTTGGGTGGTTTTAGGTTACCTCTTCTCCTTTTCTACTTAATTTTTTTGAGTCAGGGTCTCTGTCGCCCAGGTTAGAGTGCACTGGCACAATCACGGCTCTCTGCGCGGTCTTGATCTCCTGGGCTCAGGCAAGCCTCCTGCCTCAGCCTCCCAAGTAGCTGGGACTACAGGCACACACCAGTACACCTGGCTAATATTTTGATTTTGTGAGTGTGTGTGTGTGTGTGTGTGTGTGTGTGTGTGTGTGTGTGTGTGTGCTAGAGGCTGGAGGCTGGTCTCAAACTCCTAGGCACAAGCAGTCCTCCCACTTCAGCCTCCCAAAGTGCTGGGTGACAGGTGTGAACCACTGCGCCTGGCCATGTTCTGTTTTGGGGCCTTCGAATTCCTGGTCCACCCCAGGTTTCCCAGTGGGTTCCTCCTTAATTCTCCTTCCTGTGTGCCCTATGGGCTTCCTGGTGTGGTGGTGAATCATGGGTCTATCTCACCCTAGGCTCCTTCTTTGCTCCCCAGGGCCCCCAGCCCCACCCAGGGTCCCTGGACCCACCTAGGCCAAGTAGTAGGAGCCTGGCCCCATGTGTAGGGAATGAACTTCAGGAGAGCTGTGAGACTGAGCACCTTGTCTGCTGTCGGTCCTGCCACCCAGCTTAGCTGCAGAGCTTGGCCTTGTGGTTCTGTGCTAGTGGCCCTTCATCCAGAGGCCAGCCTGGAAACTCACTCCAGGAGCTGCTCTATAAAGTCTCACTGCAGCGAGTGTCTGTCCCTTGGGGATTTTTTTTTTTTTTTTTTTTTTTTTTTGAGTTAGAGTCTTACTCTGTCGCCCAGGCTGGAGTGCAGTGACATGCTCACGGCCACCCCAGCGTCGACCTTCTGGGCTCTGGCAATCCTTCTGTTTCAGCCTTCCAAGTAGCTGAAACTACAGTTGCATGCTACCTTGCCTGGATAATTTTTTATTTATCATAGAGATGAGGTCTCGCCAAGTTGCCTGGGCAAGTCTCGAACCCACGGGCTCCCAAAGTGCTGGGATTGCAGGCTAGAGCCACCAAACCTGGCCTCCTCGGGGCTTTTAAACTGACCTTCGGCGCTGGCATAACCCAATGGCACACCAGTTGCCTTTACTCAATACCTAAACCATCCCAGGTACAGAACAGACATTGCAAAAACACGAGTGCCTGATGTTTGCCAAGACTGGCATGCAGGCGAGTACCTCTGTGGTTTTTAAAAGCCAAGTCAATGTTTGCATGTCCAAGGGGTTAGTTCTCTAGGCTGCATGGGTGAGCAGCGGGTAAGGGGGTATGGGCATGGCTCTTTACTGTCCACCTCATGTCTGAGCCCAGTGAGTTTTGAGGCTGAATGCTGCCCAGGTCTGTACTGTAATTTGTGTTCCTGGATCACAGATGTGTCTGGGCTCCCTCAACCAGGGAGCTCTCTGGAAGTAGGATGCATGACCATGGGCGTATGTTGCCACACGTGTGCATGGAGGTCCATCACAGGCTGCAGGGGTCTGGAGGCATGGGAACCTGCAGCTTTATGGTGGTTCAGGGTACCTGAGCAGTCACCCTGCCTAGGTCCCAAGGTGAGTCCTCCACACACCTATAGTGAACAGTCCAAGAAGGGTCGTCCAAGAAGGGTCATCTACACACACCAGGGAACATTCCTAAGACTGGTTGTCTACACACACCTACTAGGGAATGGTACTGAGAAGAGTTGTCTACACACACCTGCAAGGAACATTCTTGAGAAGGGTCATTTACATACACCTGTAGGGAATGGTCTGAGAAGGGTCATCTACACATAACTACAGGGAACATTCCTGAAACAGTCATCTTCACACACCAGGGAACATTTCTGGAAGGGTCATCTACACACAACAGCAGAAAAGGGCCCTGAGACAGGTCATCTACATATTCCTGTAGGGAACATTCCTGAGAAGGGTCATCTATGCATACCAGCAGCCAGCAGGGAACATTCCGAGACTTGTCCACACATAGCATGGAGACCTCGGGTTTGTCCCTGCCTAAAGCTCCCTCCCTTCTATCCTTATGGGTCTCCTGTTTACTCGACCCCCTGTGGCCTCAGGTCTGTCCAGAAGGGTCTCGCTGGCTTCTGCAGCTCAAGTGGACTCGGGCTTCCAGTGGCCCCTAAACAGTCAAGGTCTCGGGCCCTGCCTCCTGCTGGCCCCAACCACACCAGCCCTCTCCAAACCTGCATGCATGTCTCCTTCACCCCGAGCCTCACCTTTCTGACACACGTGCTGTCTCCTCTGACCTCAGCCTCCCCTCTTTCTGTTAGTTCCTTTTTAGTCTTATCACCTTCCGACTCCCTCATGGCTAGAAGGGTCCTTTTCAGGGGCGTGGATGGTGCCCTTGGAGTCTGATCTGTGTGGACCCACGAGCATAGGGTCAGTCCATGCTGAGAAGCCTCTTTTCCATCTGGGCAGGCCTCGCCCCTCCTGTCCCACCCATCTGACTGTGCCCCGGACCCACATCCTACCATGGCCTCCACATACCATCCTTTGCCCATACTGGCCCGTCCCTCACCTATGGGCATATCAGGGGCACCATGTGATGGTAAGGGCCACTCTACAGGCCCCCTGGGGACCCCAGTGTCACACTCCCAGCTTCACCCGGGGACCCTGATGTCACACTCCCAGCCTCACCCAGGGACCCTGATGTCACACTCATGGCCTCCTCACCCGGAGACCCCAATGTCACGCCCCTGGCTTCTTCAGCCAGGGATGCTAATACACTCCCAGCCTCCTCATATGGGGCCCCCGATGATGTCATATTCCCGGCTTCCTCACTCAGGGACCCTGATGTCATGCTCCCGGTCTCCTCACCTGGGGAGCCATCTCCAAGACCACACTCTTGACCTCACGTGGGAGCCCCTGAGTGGGTCTGTGGTTTTCATCCTGGGGTGGCTGGTGGCCGTGCCTACTGGTCGTGGCCAGTGGCCGTGAATGTGCACTTCCTCTGATGTCTGCACAGCTCCTTCTCTGACTCCCATTTCTCTTCCCGCCCCGTGCTCGTCACCATCCCTTAAATCCGGCTGATGCTCTGGTTTCCTAGTGCGTGTCACACAGCAGAAACTGTGGCATCGACGTGACCTCATGGCATATCCCCGGCTTCTGCATCCACTGCCAGGGTGTTTGCAGTCTGGTTTTCTCCACATGGCCTGGGCCCTCACAGTCTCCCCCAGGAGCCCCACTTCCAGTCAGGCTGCTCTCTCTGGTCTGGAGGCCTCTCGTGCCGCCTCAGTGCCACCCTTGCTCCTCTTCCTGCTCCCTTTCCTCGCCCTCACTCTTACTCTTTCTTCTGCTTGCTGCTGAATCTTGTAGCCATGCTGCACTGACGCCATTTGTTCCTTAAGCCCTAACGTGTGTGAAGGTGTGTGTAGCACCTGCATGACCCTAGCACGACTTCTCTAGAGCATAAGAGACATTCGAGTACATGGATGCTGGTGTGAAAGGATGAATGAATGTATGAATGAATGGTTGTTGTGGATTTTCTAAGGTTCAGGTTTCATGTCGTGTTGCTCTTTTGTGAACTAGATACTCGAGTTTCCCATCTGGGAGCCCTTCCAGGCATTAGGTTGATGGGTCAGCACCCAGCAAGGCCACAGAGTCTTGTGGCCTGATCTTTAAGATGGCCTTGTCACATCTACCATGTGTTTGGGGATTTGTGGCTGCTGGGTGAATACTGTCAGGAGAGTCGTATAGAGTTAGCCAAATGCACAGTTTCAGGAAAAGCCACACCATGCCATGGTCACATTCGTGCTGCCGGAAGCGTGACAAGCCCGCAGTTGCTGTTTCTCCTGGTGTGAAGCCTGTGTCTGTTCCGTGACAGTGACCCACGCTCACCATGGAAGCTGGACCCATCGTGTACCTAGCCCAAGAAGCCGTGGCATCACAGAGCCTGGCCAGGATACTGGATGTGGCCCTTGGGACTTACTGAGGGTTGCGGAAAACACCCTGGCTCCCCAGATCACCTTGAGGCTTCAATGGCCTCTCCTTGCAGCTATAGATAGCAGGGCCGCCTCCGTCTATTTTTACGGTGCGCACGGCAAGGGAATTGCACTGGAGGTGCCCCTTGCCAGGAGGAAGCCGTTCACTGGTGTCTATCTCTTGGCAGGCTCTCTGCAGCCATCTGTGAGTCCAGGAGAGCCATCTCCACCATCCATCCAGCCGGCGGGCTCCGAGTTGGTTGTTGACGCTGGCGGTGAGCTCCGGCTGCTGTGTACTGACCCGGGCTTCGCCAAGTGGACCCTCGAGGCCCTGGGCCGGGTGCAAGAGGACTGGCACAGTGAGTGGGTCAGGGAGAAGGCCCAGGCCACAGACACAGGCCGGTATACCTGCACCAACCAGCAAGGCCGCAGCAGCTCCATTTACGTGTTTGTTCGAGGTAAGCCCGTGGCTGGGGCACCGCACTGGACAGAGCCTAAATTCCATTCTTGGTTTTGGGTAACATGTGGATGGCTGTGCCGTGGGTGAATGAGGACAGGTATCAGACAAGCCTGAGGTGCATGCTCCCTTGCTGGTCTCCCCGCTTGGAGCACTTGGAGGCACCGAGGCTCTAGGTGTGCTCCCCCACCCAGGCCCTTGAGGCGCAATGTCCTTCCTGGTGGGAGTTGCCCAGCATGCAAAGTGAGCTCATCAGGCCCCTTGGGGAGCTGCCCAGAGACACCAAGTGCTCCCACTTGGTAAAAGCCCTGGTGGTCCCTGACTTCCCAAGGCCCCAGAGCCAACCCCCACTGGACAACTGGGCAGCCGTCAGCCATGGGCTCTGGGCAGAGTGAGGTCATTGGAGACCATGACCTCTTAGGAACAAGAAGACCAGAGGGCTGGTCCTCGCCCCTGCGTCCTCCCACATGTCCAGGACACCCTGTCAGCTTGTGGAGGCAGGTGTCTGGGGACGTGGCTTCTATGGAGATTCAAAGCCCCCAACAGCTGAGGGACCTGCAAGGCACAGGAGAGAGGAGGCCACTTCTGGTTTGGGTATTCCTGGGCAGGGGCTGCCTTTGACGGCGGCCTGGGGCAAGAGGCCCCTCCGACCTCGTGTAGGCACCATACCTGCCATTGCTCCTGGACTAGAGGCCCGGAGTCCTCGCTGTGGCCTCCAGGGAGTCCAGGCTGCTCCCCACCTCATACATCCACTGGGATCAGCCGCTAACCCTCGACTCTGATCTGCTCACAGACCCTGCAAGGCTCTTCCTGGTCGTCGACCGCTCCTTGTTCGTGAAGGAGGACTCCGACACACTAGTCCGCTGTCCCCTGACAGACCCAGAGGTGACCGGTTACTCCCTCAGGGGCTGCCAGGGGAAGCCTCTCCCCAAGGACCTGCGCTTTGTCCCCGACCCCAAGGCGGGCATCACCATCCGGAGTGTGAAGCGCACCTACCACCGCCTGTGCCTGCACTGTGCTGCTGAGCAGGCAGGTGCCGTGCTGCTGTCAGACAAGTTCACCCTGAAAGTGTGGCCAGGTACGGGACCTTCCCACCATGTGCTCATGGGATATCCCTCCCCTCTCATGGCCACCCGAGGGCGTCACCAGAGAGAGGCTCTTCATGAGTCCCCTGCTGCACGGGACACCAGCCGCTTGCCATGCTGTCTCTCATGGTCCCACCCATGTGGCGGGGCCATGACTGTCCCTCATGGGGGTCTCTCCCATAGATGGCATTGAGGCTGGGCCAACTCAGATCATCCCAGAGTCTCAGGACTGCACCACGCGTTCCTTGAGAAGCCCACAGGGATGCTTTAATCACACTGGTTGAAAACATGAGCATGCAGGTTATTTGTTCTTCGATTACTGTTGACATAGGAATCAACTCCGCCTCTGCAGTAGATTAATTTTCACGTGTTCTCCCATGCCTCAAGGTCTGAGAAGGAGAGTACCACTGCCTATCGCCCTTGTTACCGTGCATTGCAGGCTTTTGTTAGCTGGAGGGTAAGCTAGGGTTTGTGTCTCAGAGATCATCCACATCGATACCTGTTGGCATCCAGCTCTGAGTACAGTTTTTATTCAAACTTTTGGAAATAAGTGCTTACTGAAATTAGAGGAAAGCTCAATTGTTTAAAACCTGAGATTTCCAGAAGTGAGCAAGGTAGCATCACTTTCACCATGCGTGGGAAAGACACCTGTTTGGCTGAAAGACTCTATTAGTTGTTGGTGACATCCTGACACCATGAGGGTCGTCCCAGCTAAGGATTAAAGCTTCTTCTCAGCGCCAGGGCATCTACCTGCTTGGAGAAAGCATTTTCCAGAAGCATTATCCTAGCAGCGTGGATGCTGTGCCCCTTTTCACTCAGTATTAATGAATTGACCTGAAGAGTGCATGATTTAAGCTGGCAACTTCAGACATGCGAGTAATGCCATCCTTTGTGTTTTTGAAAAGCCAACAGCAAACTGCCCACATTTGTGGGAAAGTGGCAAGTTGGCATTTCACGCAGGGGTTTGAGGCACGTTTCTCTTTCTTCCAGCCTTCAAGGCGGTGCCTGTCGTGTCTGTGTCCAAAGCCAGCGCTCTCCTCCGTGAGGGCGAGGAGTTCACAGTGACGTGCACCATCAGAGACGTGTCCAGCGCCGTGAGCTCCCTGTGGATATGGGATCAGGGCCAGGTGAGCACCTGTCTCACTCCTTCTCCATACCTCACTCACTCTGTGCAGGGGGCTGAAGGGTCTGTCCTGGGGCAGCTCGCCTGGTACATCCGAGCTGGATTGTCTGAAGCACATTGGGGTCTGTGTTTCTCCCATCACACCTCCGTACGGAGACGAACACCTTTATTACTGGTGACAAATGTCATTTTGTGCACTTATTTTGAGGAAGTCGAAGCAGGGACTTCATGTTCTTGTTATTACTGTTATGCTGTTTCTTGGAAAGACTTTAGTAGGGAAATTTTAAAAAAGAAGGGTGTGAATACCTTGATGGGAAGCTATTACTGATACTGTTTAAGACAGGTTATTTGAAATATTGGAAAGAGTTGCAATTCTTTCCTTCTATATTTAAAAAGAAAACATAATCTCATGTATTTACCAGGAAGCTCGTCCCTGTCCCACTAAATTCGAGAGCTGGATTTCTTTTTGCAAGGACCTCATTTCCTCCTTTGAGGCTAGTTACCTGAGATGTAAAGTTACTAATGGTTTTCTATTTGCTTTTGCTGCTGTTAGTAAAATGGTTATCTTTAATCCAAGCCATTTGGGCATGGTGGCACTCAATCATTTAACAAATGCATATTGAATGCCTGCTGTATCTCACATATCGGGTTAGGTGTGTCCTAAAGTTAAATAAATTTCAGCCAGTAATATTTGAAGATTTTTCTCTCTCTAAATGGTGGGCATAGGACCAACTTATAGCTGGCAGTGCTGGGTAATGGAAACAACAGCCACCTCATGGGTAACTTTCTATTTGTGAGTAGGGATGTTATGACACTCGTATTAACAGCTAGGTCTTTAAACTGTCTTAATTTCCTAGCATTTTGTTTTAAAATTCTCGTTGGCCGAGTTTTCAGTGATTTTTTTTTTGCTTGTGAAATCTTGGCCATCTAGTGAGTTAGTGGTCTCAGTGGTTTTTCTCCATCTCATCCATGCACGTTTCACACTGGAGAGAAGAAAAGCCATGTTTTCCTTCTCCTCCTCACCTCATGCCCTGTATTCAACACTGGTGATTTCATGCCTGTTTTAAAAAGTCCTTGCTAAACAAATAGTCCTGGCTACTAGCATAACGGAAGGTGTGGTGGTGGTGTGCACGGCACTTCTGATGGATACTGTCTCTAAATGAAGCGGCCACGAACTGGAGAAGGAATTGTGCCATGGACGTGTTCTTTCAAATCAGAGGCTCAGCAATGTTTCAGTTTTCAGATCACTTAATGTCATAAAAACAATAGGTTCTGTATGGATTTTTGGCTAAACTTACAGAATAGAATCCCACATTAACTGGCTTGCTGTAAACCTTGATTTCGAATGAGAGGACTGTTTAGATGGCGTGTACATTTGAGCCTCTGTATAACTTGAAAATTAGCCTTTTTGAGAAGAGGAATTAGATTGCTCAGGCTGTTTTGTCCGGGACAGCTATTCTCAGGAGCCCTGCATGCCATTCCCAATTAACCCGCTGGCGCTGGTCGATGAGTCTTCAGTGCTGGGAGCTCTTTGGGGAAATCCCTGTGCCCCACCAAGGGTTAAGGAAAACCAAGTCACGTGCGAACCGTATGTGATGTGTGACTTGCAGATGGGGCTCCTGGCTCCTTGCCAAGCGTTTCCATGAATCCTTAATTGATATCCTTTGGCTTAATTTGGAATACTGTTAGCACTATCAAATTATTTTTTAATCTGTAATATTTGATCCTGACCATTCAAAATAAGTTTAACTCACAGTGAGATTTAGGGTAAAATGACTGTTTAGAGCTGCTGCAATCGTGTGCTTCAGCATAAAAGTCTTGAAGTTTATTCAATACGGTTAATTTTGGTCAGCTTTCCCAATGCTTCTAACACTATTTATTTATTTATTCATGTATTCATTTTGAGACAGGGTTTCACACTGTCACCCAGGCCATGGAGTGATCATGGCCCACTGCAGCCTCAACCTCCTGGCCTCAGGTGATCCTCCCATCTCAGCCTCCCCAGTAACTGGGACTACAGGCACATGCCACCATGCCCAGCTAATTTAATTTAATTTTTTTTTTGTAGAGACATGGTGTCACTAAGTTGCCCTGGCTGGTCTTGACCTGCCGTATTCAACCAATCCTCCCTCCTTGGCTTCCCAAAGGGCCAGGATTACAGGCCTGAGCCACTGTGCCTGGCCAACGCTAATATTTTGATGATATCCTAAATTCTGGTTTCTGAGTTTGGGTGTGGATGCTGCACCCCTTGGGACCAAGCTGCTCCTTTCGACGAGGTCAGTGTCCTGTTAGATGCTTGCATGGCTCATGGGCTTTTGAATGAGCTCAAGGGGAGATGCCTGAGGTCTGGAACTTGACGTGTTGCCTGTCCATTGCCACCTGCCCTTCTGGAGGAGTCAGTGAGGCTCATTGGGAAGGTTGGTGTGAAGGTGTCGCCCACCTTGCTCTTGGGTCTTTCTTGCACCTGACCTTACACTGGCCTGGCTGATTCCTGCTGGCTGCTAGAAGAGCTTTTTGGGAGGGGAAGCTTCAGGTTTGCACAGCGTTCCAGCTGGACAAGTCTCTGGAAGGCACTTTTGTCTCCTCATACCTTTTTTTTCTTAAAGTTTTCAAACAAAGTTTATTTAGAAAGTAAATAAAAGAGAGAGAGAGAGAGAAAGGGGAGAGATTCACCTCTCCAAGGTAGGGGAGGGGACCAAAGCTAAGAAAACATGTTGGACATAGCTCAAAGGACACATGGTGTGGCTGGTGCTTAACGAAACAATGGATTTCTTTTAAGTTTTCAGGCAAAGTTTATTTAGAAAGTAAATGTGAGAGAGAGGCGGAGAGGGAGAGGGGGAGGGAAGATCCTCACACCCTCTAAGCAACAACTGAGAGGAGTGGTGTTCTTGACTTGCCCAAGATTCTGCAGTTAACAACAAAGCAGCTTTTTCTTTATATTTTAAAACAATTCAACTTCAGCAGTCAGCTTTGGTGTGTGCTTATTTTAGTGTTAAAAAAAAGAGTCTGAGATCATAATAACATTAAAAAAAGAGAGAAATGGGTATAGTCCCACATTGCAGCTGACAGTGCTGGGTCATGGAAACATTGCTCACACTCGATATGTAATTTTCTATTTGTGAGTAGATAGTAGATTTACAAAAGATAAAAAAGGTAAGGTTGATTTTAATGATGTATTTTATTTGATGCAGTGTGTCTAAAATGCCATTTCATCATGTAATTAACATAGAAGTTGTTAATGAGATGTTTTACTTTAACATCAAGTCTTCAGAATCTGGGACATACTTCACATTTTGCCACAGCTGGCCGTGGTCTCCACGGGCCAAGTGCTCACTCGTCTCTAGTGGTTAGTTCTTGCAGATGCTGTGGATTGGCATTTGTTTTTGTATTTCCTTTCTGTTTTCCCATGCATAGCATGTGGTTGCAGCTTTACATAGACCTAGTTTATGCCTTTTAGTAACGGAAGCATCTTCCCTGGATTCTACACAGTTGTAACTTCCATGGCGCTGCCTACCTGGTCCTGTAGAGGTCACATCCTGGTTTTCACTGCAGTCAACACGTTGGAACTTGAGCTTGTTGAGTGATTGCCTGGAGGTGCGCTGGCTGGAGCTGGTTGGTGGGGTACACACTGCCCAGCCCTGTCCAGGGCTGCTCTGGTTTGAGGTGCTCCCAGATGTCCCAGTTCTGCGATCTCCACAACCCAGCCCGCGCATCTGATCAATCCCGTGCATGTCCCCACCAGCTCTGGTTCACCTTCCTCTTTCAGTTGTTTTTCTTTCCATTGTCATAGGAATATATATACATTGCAGGGAACCTGGATGGTGCAGAAAACTGCATCCGACTCTGATCTTTTGGCAGTGACTGTCGTTTATTTTATTGTTTTTTCACAACGTCTTGAATGTGGGAACTCTCCATGTCATGTCTGCAGACAAATGATGGCAGGTGGTACTCTCACAAGGGCACATCCACTGCCTTTGTCTTCAGCTCATCCTAGATCACCAGACTTGGTCTTAGGGTCTCATGGGCCTTGCAACTCTCCACAGTGGTTCCCAGAATCCTCTGGGCAAGAACTGTCAGTGAGTTTCCAAGTTTATTAGAACGTTATTGTTTCGCAATGTGTTTTCTTCCAATCATTGGGACATAGAATAGGAAAAGACGTATGATAGGACCTGATATAACGTGTGCTGACTCACCTTCTCAAGCATCGGTATCCCATGACATTTCTTATGTAGCAACTTTGAGAATGTAACGCTGCAGAGAATTTGTAATTATATGTGCTATAGCTGAAATGAATTTTCATATTTTTCCAATCATGAATAATGACTGTCTTTCAGTGTAATCCTGTGATATGAAGTGTTCCAGGGATGGATGCGTCATGAGCTTCATTATTCTTACTTAAGTAGTGTGTAATGAAAGCTAATATGGGGAAGTTAATTGCTGCTATTTTTAATTTCTCTAGGAAATATTCTGAATATAAATTATATGGTAATCGTTGCTTTTTTTCCCACCCCTTCTGAAACCAGCAGACTGAAGCACAGGTAAGCCAAGATAGCTGGCATAAGGGTGACTTCAAATATGAACGTCAGGAAACCCTCACGATCAGCTCAGCAAGAGTTAATGATTCTGGAGTGTTCATGTGTTATGCCAATAATACTTTTGGATCAGCAAATGTCACAACAACCTTGGAAGTAGTAGGTAAATATCTCTCTGGGAATGTATAAATTACTGGTAGGTGTAGAAAAAGAAATTACCAGATAGTTTTCTTTTGGTATAAATGAGTGTTGAACAAATTCTTAGAATTTTGTCCCTACCAAATGAATGAATGAATGAATGAAAATGATCATGTGACCGCTTGGAACTAGAGCACAAACGCAAATTCTGCCAGTGTGGTGGAGGACTGTGGATAGCTGGGACTGGTGTTGCAGCCCATGGTTTCCTGTGCAGCCTTCCCTGCTCTTTCCACAAGGCCACAGCACCACGTGGAGGCTGTTGAGAGAGGCTTGCACTTTCTGAGCATCTGAGGCTGGAAATGGAAGCAGACACACTCTGTCCGGGGCCTGAAGTGTTTCTTGGGCTCTTGGTGGGGCCTCTGCCTTGGGCAAATGGCTGTGTGCTCCCAGTTCACCCTCAGCAAGGACTGAAGGGGGCTTCTTCGGCCTGGCAGCCTCCCTCCCACCTCACCCTCCTCTTCAGCCTCAAAGCTTAGAGGATGGGTCTGGGAAGGAACCCCGAGTGCACGATCAGTTCTCTGCAGCGTATACGTGAGGTCATGCTGAGCTTCCTGACCACATCACGGTGGCAGGCACAACTGGCTTTGCCTTGTCTTCCCTGCTCTAGAAATTTCACTTGTCACTCATTTTCCAGGCATTGACTTAAAGAAAGCTGAGCCTAGCAATTGTCTTCATGCCTCGGATTGACTGAGAATAATCATCATTTTAAAATGACCTCACTGACGCTTTGTCTGTCTTTTGAGTATTGTTTGCATGCCATCCATTTTTCTGTGTTTTTAATGTTTTTAATTTCTAGTGCTTGACTTTGATGAAATGCTTCTAGAGTGGTGAGGGTCTTCATCATGAATAATAATAAAATGAAGCAATATTTGCTCTCATTTCCTCCTTTTTGCCCTTCCCAATTTCCCGAAGAGTTCACATAGCAGTGTTAAGCGCTAATTTATCCCACAACTACCTCATGGCATTTTAGTGTTTCTGTCCAGGTGACAGTGGGATGTGCCTCACCAGACTGGACATGGCTGAGGCCCCTGCTTGCAGTTAGAGTGAGCATGGAGAGTGTCCTGCTTGTCCCTAAATGTGCTTGTGAACCATTTATTAGTTTGAATAGAAGGCCATGCTTTTAAAATATTAAACTCCATAAGCGCTAATTTGCTAAGTTGATTAGGGAGCGTGTTGATATATCAGCTTCGGCTCCAGAAAGCAATTAGGAAGGATGTTTTGAGCGCATTGTTGTATGTAATCGGATTTTTAAAATCCACCCATCAATTTCCAAGAATTATAACTGACTGGAAGAACTTGCGGCCGTGAAACCTGTGTTTTGTGCTGTGTTGTGGGTGGGTTGGGTGGGACAGGAACAGGAAGAGACAGAAAAGCCGTATTAGGGGCTGGAGTAGGATTTGAAAGCAGAGTGGGGGCAGGGGAGACAGGGCTCTAGAACCACCCTGGTCTGGTTTTCTTTACTTTTTACTTGGTTCCTTGTATATTTACGGTGTCCAACGTGATGTCTTGGGCTGCATGTGGACAGTGTGAAGGTTATTGTGGTGAGGTGAGGTGGCATGACCTTGCCCATGACTCCTGCCCATCCCGTGTGCCCTGTCTTGAGTTGGGGCTATGCCACTAAGATTTCCAGTCACCTGCTTTCACTCTGCCTGCATTTCCTCTCTGGAGAAGCAAGGTGTCAAGTCCCAACACTGGGAAGGAGAGAGGCCATGGGTTTTACAAAGTGTCAAACGAGTTATCTCTGATTTCTTAATGCAGAAGTGCCTGAGAAGGGCCATCGCTGGTGTTAGGTTAGGACAAGGCAGGTACAGTGCTCCAGCCCTCTGTGTTCCAACACCCTGGGTGGTGCCCTTCTAAAGGCTCATTTACTCTTGTATGTAGAGGTTTGGCCCATCAAGTAACATTGTATCAAGCAAACTAGATGCTAGACAGCTCTGGGAGACCTAAGTATTTTATATACAGCAACAATGAGAGAAATGATTTCAGTGCAAATATTGTTGTCTGAAATATTTGAGTATTTTGGATTGGATTTATGACCTTGAGAACGTAAAAGTTCAATGTCACCTTCAGATGCAAGGTTTAGTCCCTGGGAGTTAATCTAAGTTAGCTTTAGCGGATTCGTCATGTATGATGGCAGGTGTTAGAACAAGGTGGTGGTTTCTAGCTCTCTGTGGTTTTAATTGGGATGGTTTTCCATTCTCCCCTGAAAAATCCTTTCTGATTGGTAAATGGACGAAGGGTAGGTGGGTTGTATTTTTGATTCTGAATCTATAGGAAACTAAATAACCGGAAAAGCTGTCCTTACAGTCTCACGTGGGACTTCAAAATATAACCAGACAGCACCAAAGTTAGTGAATGATCGTTTTAAATTAAAAAAAAAAATAAATCAAAGAATATAAATAGAATTCTTCTATGCTTCCAGTAACTTGGTACAGCCATTTTTTAAGACTTTGGCATGTTGCTTGTATTTTTGTATATAACAGAGCTTTAATTTTCCCTACAATTTTACTCATATTCTCACTTCAAGTTTAGAGAGACTAGGATGTGCTTATCATAAGAAGAGGCCAGATTTGGCTTCTCACGGACCTGGGTTCAAGTCCAGGATCCACTAGATGGCATCTAAGACTATTTTCTATAAATTAAATGTTATAAACTCTGTCTCTCAATGTTGACATATGATTAAATATTTGCCATAATTATTAAGTGCAGTGTGTACTACAGAGCTTAGGGACATTCTTGGCACACAGTATTTTGTAAATGGCAGCTAGGTAATATTGGCAGTTACTTTATTACTCTTTTTGAAGCTTTTGCCAATATTATTATCATAGAACCATTTTTAAGAACTTATCATTATTTCTTTATTTTGAGTTGGGGTGTTACTCTGTCACCCAGGTTGGAGTGCAGTGGCTTAATCATGACAATCATGACAGTTACAGCTCACTGCAGCCTCAACCTCCTGGGCTCAGGTGATCTCCCACCTTAACCTCCTGAGTAGCAGGGACTATAGGTGCGTACCACCACACCAACTAATTTTTTTTAATTTATTTTTTGTAGAAATAAGGTTTTGCTGTGTTGCCCAGCTGGTCTCAAACTCCTGGGCTCAAGTGCTCCTCCTGCCTTGGCCTTCCAAAGTGTTGGGATGACAGGCGTGGGCCATCATGCTTGGCCTGCATTATTTATTTAACCAGATCTCTGTTTTTCACTTTCAAAGTGATTATAGCTGGTGTAAATAGCACTTTTTTGTGTGTAGCTTTCTTCCCCACTTTAAGATTACAGGATTCGATAGAAGAATAGATAATTTTTAAAAAAAATCTATATTGCTAAATGCTTTCTTAAAAAAGTATGCCAAGTTACAGTGTGTAATTCAGTGCTGCTTTTCCACACTTGCAAAATTATTGAGTTTAGTTAAAATTAGTTTTGCTATTTTTAATAAGTGAAAAGTGATATCTTAGTTTAATTACTAGTTTAGCTAAACATTTTTCCTTCTATATTTTACTGTCCTCTTTTTCCTGTTACCTTGATTAATTTTAGTATATAGACATTTAAAAATGTTTATATAATTAAATTTGTCTTCTATGTTTTTTTTTTCTTTTGTTGCTTTCGAAAAGCCTAGCAAACTTCTCCCTCAGTAGAGGTATGATAGGGGTCAGTTCTACTGTTTAGTTAAGAATACCAGTTGAGGGCCAGGCATGGTGGCTCACACCTGTAATCCTAACACTTTGGGAGGCTGAGGCAGGAGGATTGCTTGAGGCCAGGAGTTCAAGACCAGCCTGGGCAACATAGTGAGAACCTATCTCTAGAAAAAATAAAAAATTATCAGGATCTGGAGGTGTTTGCCTGTAGTCCCAGCTACTCTGGAATCTGAGGCAGAAGGATTGCCTGAGCCCAGGAGTTCGAGGATGCTGTGAGCTGTGATCGTACCACTGTACTTCAGTCTGGGTGATAGAGTGATGAGAGTGTGTCTCAAAAAATAAAAATAGAGAAATACAGCTTGATTGTAAAAGTGTTTCCTTTGATTTATCCATGATACATGCAATGAGGAGAAGACCTGGTTCACTTTATTCAAATCCTAAGTGATCTTTTCCCAACATTTAATCATACACCAGGGCTCTTTCTGTCGTGGTTTGTCACATGATCATATTCACAGTTAAATTGGGCCTGGGCATGGCCATTTAGTCCAGATGCTCCTAACCTGGTAAGCAGCAAGACAAGCAGATTTAGAAGACATTTAAGATGGCGGTAGGTTTTTTTGTTTTGTTTTTGTTTTTTTGTTTTTTGAGTCAGAGTCTCACTATTTCACCCAGGCTGGAACACACAGCCACCACAACCTCCACCTGCTGGGCTCAGATGACCCTTCTGCCTCAACCTTCCAAGTAGCTGGAACCACCCACAGACACGTGCCATCATGCCCAGCTAATTTTTAAAAATGTATTGTGGAATCGAGGTCTCACCAAGTTGCCCAGGCTGGTCTTGAACCCCTGGGCTCAGGCAGTGTTCTCGCCTCTACCTCCCAAAGTGCTGGGATTATAGGCATGAGCCCCCATGCCTGGCAGAATTAGGCTTTTTAATTAGAACCTTCTTATCAAATACGCTTTTTTTGTAGATCTTAACTTTTGCACATAATAGTCTCACTTACCTGGATACCTTTTTTTTTTTTTTTTTTTTGAGTTGGAGTCTCACTTTATCGTCCAGACCGGAGTGCAGTGGTACACTCAAGACCATGACAGCCTTGACCTGCTAGGCTCAGGTGATCCTGCCTCGACCTTCCAAGTAGCTGGAACCACAGGCATGCGCTACCATGTCCAACTGGCTTTTTTATTTATTGTAGAGGCAAGGTCTTGCCATGTTGCTCAGGCTGGTTTTGAACATGTTAGCTCAGGCAGTCCTCTTGCCTTGACCTCCCAAAGTGCTGGAATTACAGGCATGAACCACCACACCCAGCAAGACAAATGATACATTTTTAAGAGCATGACTTAAGAGACAGACATGGAAGAATCAGTATTTCAAGGGTTCGTTTTTTCTTAGTTTATGGCAGTGATCCTACAAGAGGAAAATGAAATGCAAAATGGCTACTTAAATTGTTACTGGTTATTACCAGTGAATACTGGAAGTCAGTCCATAATCTCTGTAATTCCAGGACATGAGGTTGGGTTTTTTGTTGAGTAGCTGTGTATAACGATGTCTTTCTGTCTTGCCCTACTTAACTAGATAAAGGGTTCATTCACGTCCTTCCTGTGATGAACACGACCATGTTTGTGAACGATGGAGAGAATGTCAATCTGGTTGTTGAATACGAGGCATATCCCAAACCTGAGCACCAGCAGTGGGTCTACATGAACAGAAGCTTCTCTGAGAAGTGGCATGCATACCCTAAGTCTGAGAACGAAAGCATCAGGTAGGAGGGGACCCTGACTGGACAACATGCCCACTTCTGGGCTCCCAGACCCCCTCGGCCCCTCGATGTGTGAGGAGACACCAGTGAGGAGGGACGTCAGGGCTCCCTCCACAGTTACATCCGAGCATTCCATGTGCTGTGTGTTTAGAGCATGCGTGTGCGTGCAGATAAGCACATGCACACGTGCACTCACGTGTGCACACACACGCAAACCCTGGGCCTTCGTTTTCTTTGAAGTGGAAGAACGTTTTCTGGGGTTCCGAGGAAAGCCCTAAGCAGTGATTGGCATAGACTCAGGACACAGTACTTTATGCTTTTCAGAAGAACGGGGACTTTGGTACCTGTGGTTGTTTCTTAGAACCCCAGGAAAATGAGAATTGCCAGGGCCTTGGGCAGTGAACCCAGCTGTGGACATCAGCCCTCATGTCAGCCCGGCAAATGTCATAATGTGGCCATGATGGCTGTGCTAGGTGGGCTGTCAACGGCTGCCCTATCAGGCGTGGTCTTGAGTGCTTAACCTTAGGAGTGAGCACTCTTACCTCCCCCATCTCTACAGAAGAGGAGACTGAGGGATCGAGGGTGAGGCACTTGGGCAAGGCCTTATGGCGGTGAGGATGGGAGCCTGGATGGAGTCTGTTTTTCCAGTCGGCTGTTGGAAGAACATGGTGAGGGGATACAGTGTTCTGTGCCAAGGCCCATGGGTGGGAGGGAGGAGGATAGACTTGGTGGGGGCAGAGAGGGGCTGGCAACATCTGGACTGAGTAAGAGAGCAAGGGCCGGAAGTTCGCTGGGGGCTGTCGGGCTTATGGCTGATGGCGGGGTCTTGAGTAGAGGTGTTGGGTAGGAAGCCTCTAGGGTCATGTCTACCCAGAGCCTAAGATAGGTTCTAGGGCCAGGGGCTTGTGAAGGGGGAGACCCGCCAGGGAGTGTAGTCATGGGTAGGAGGGGACAGAGGTGAATGGGAGTGAGCGCTAAGCTGTCTGATGGGGACTCTGAGCTGGCCTGTCACCCAGTCAGGATCAGCCCCTGTGGCTGTCCCCCTGACCTGCAAGCCGCTTGCATGGAGACCAGCTGGCGAGGGCTAGGCAGAACAGCAGCTATGGATGTGAGGCCATGGAACAGAGTCCTGAGAGTACAGGTGGAGCCTGGAAGCAGCCAGTAGCCACCGGGAGGGCGACTGATGTCATTCACAGGGCAGGGTCTGCATAGTCCCAGCTCCCCAGTTGGGCCCAGCCCCGGGGTACGTGGTCATGTGGAGCAGGGCATGCACTGTGAGCGGGAGACCCTAGGGGTGGGGGTGCTTGTTTGCACAGTAGTCTGGTGGCCCTGCGGAGGTCAGAAGCTGGAAGAGCAGAGGCTGTATGGACAGCAGCAGGAGGGCCCAGGAGGTATTGCAGGGAGGAAGGGGTGTGGACCCCACCAAGGCCAATGTCTGCGGTGTAAGCAGGCAGTTCAAGGGGACATGGACCCCCGCGAGCTGGGAGAAAATGGCATGGTGGGCTGATCACCCTTGTGTTGCTCCCAGGCTGCATGTATGTCCTGGTGGAACATGCATTAGCGTGGATGGAGTGAGTCGTGTCTTCCCTAAGCAGCATGTATTTCCAGGTGGAAATGGAAAGGGGCGTGCCTGGGACCATCGAAGGTGACTGACACTCTGTCTTCTCTTGCAGGTACGTGAGTGAACTCCGTCTCACCAGACTGAAAGGCACTGAAGGAGGCACGTACACGTTTCTCGTGGCCAACGCTGATGTCAGTGCTTCCGTGGCATTCAGTGTTTACGTGAATAGTAAGTGGCCCAGGGCCCCCTCACTTTATTGGTGGTGTTTGAGCTGCAGGGCTGACTGTGCTGTGTGCTGTGTAAATAACGTTTCATGATAATCTTGACCTTCAGAGACTAGTGGTTTGGTGGTTGGAAGGGTACGTGAGAAAGCCAGCTCCGTGCCCCACATTGCATGGCCATGTGACCCTGTAAAGCCACTCGAGCTCTAGTCACTGCCTCGGAAGGGGACGGAGGAGTTGGAGAAGTGAATCCACGGTTGAGGGGAGGCATGGTTGAGGGGAGGCATTTTGTAGGGTTGAGGTGGGAGCTGGGTGAACAGGAGCGGGTCGGTGGTCAGGGGAGAACGCTGTCACCGGCCCTGACATGACTTGCCTTTTGTCTTTTCCTTTCGAGGCTGCTGCGATGGTGTCTGTGTCTAGAAGCCTTCCCTGGGGCGCATGCGGTGTAGACAGCCCCATGAACTGTGGGTGCCATGGTTTGTGGGAGAAGGCAGGCAGCCCTGGTTGGGGTGGATGGATTTTGTGGTTGCGGGCACCTGAGGGCCAAGTCCTGTCCCGCTGAATCCCCCCTAGATGTGTGTCTGCACTGCAGTGGAGGCCAGAGAACCTGACCACCGGCAGTCTCCTGCCAAGGGCCAGGCCTCTTCCTGGCTCTGGTCAGGTCTGAGCTGCACTGCACTTTCAAGGAGGGGAGGGCGAGTGCCGGAGCTCGGGGGCTGCAAAGACTCAGAATTCTGGGAGAGTGTTCAACAGGTGGCCCTTGGGACTGGTGGTCCTGATGTATGGGGTTGTGGAGATGCTTGGAGCATTGCCTGGAGCAGCAGGGGCTGTGCTGGCGCTTCATGTGTGGCCTGGAGGGTTGTCCCTGTCTGGAGTAGCTCGCTGGTTGCCTCAGTGCTTCCAAGTGTGTGGTGGGCATGGGGGTATTGTCTCTTCGTAAATGAAGATACCACCGAGAGAGACATCTGGACAGACTTTATTGCTATCTGGAGTCTCGATCATACAAACATTTGAAAGTTATATCTCCTGAACAAGGTGTTAACACAACCCTGGCGGGGAGAGGACACGTGTGTGTAATTAAACACGTTTCTTTACTGTTCTGTAGGCTGATGGGTGTCACACCTCCCGGGAGGGGCTGCAGCGTGTTTCCCAAGTGTGTGTAACAACAGTACCTTCCTTTCCAAGGGAAACTAGTGAATCATTATCTCAGTTCCTGGGAAGAGTTTTGATGATACAACATCTCACTGGCCCTCAGTTCAAATCTTTCTAGATAATTTCAGTGTTAGAGGAGCTGGGTGTGTTATACAAGTTCAAACTGTCTGCTTCTGAGCACACTTAGCTCTCTGAAGCGGGTGACGGGCAGGCCGTGTGCTGACATTACGCTGTGATGGCACTCATCATGGTTTCCCAGAATGTGTATGACTTTCTCAGCCTGTCTGTGGTGAAGGGCTTCCCCCCGTAAAGTCCCTGGTCACTGCCATCAGTACTTGTAAAACACAGTAAAACCCATTACTATAAAAGTGAGTTGTGAGCAACAAAATAAACAAGACCCAAGCTTGGGTGTTTCCTTTTTAGATTCAGCAGATAAAGGATTGTCTGTTGAGTGGCTCCTTCCGATACTTCTCCACTGTGTCTGTGGTTCTGTGTCCATCCAGCTGGCCTGGGTGTGGCCCTTGCCACAGCCTCACCCTGAGACATCCTACCCCTCGTCACCATGGCTGGAACTTTATAGCCGGCGCCTGGTGTTCACGCCTCCCCAGTTTCCAGGCCACACACGTAGACTGTGTCTCTTCCTTCTCTTCCCTGTTTCTGCTGTGATGTGTGGCCTGCTGGTGGATCCTGGGCACTAACTTTAGAAAAACGTTTCTGGCTCCTTTTGGGGTACAGTTGCTGCAGTTTTACTTGCCAGACTAATTGACCTTCCGGCAGGGCCCGTTTTAGTCACTGCTGCTGTGAACTCATTGAAGTAAGATGGGGTGTGCCCTTGACCTTCCAGAATGTCCTTGGGTTCCCTGTTGGAGGAGGCTGACCAGTCTCCTGGGGCCTAGGTCCCAAACCCATGCAACATCTGCTGGGGTCCTGCTTCTCACGCTGGAGGAGAGGTGGGTGTGACACAGCTCTGCCCTCCCAGGGAGCCCTCAGAAGGTCTCCTTGATGTCAGTGTCACATGCAGTAAACTGACAAAGGCGTATGGTCCACGCACCAACCACATTGGATGTCTTGATTGCCAAACACTTGCCCTGAGGCAGCGTTTTTATGTGAACTTTGAATTTACCTCCTGTGAGCTGTGTCCAGCTGATCTTTACAGATACAGCCGACTGATCTGTTTGTTGGGTTTTTTTAGTTAACGTTATTGCAGTGTAGAATTTTTTTTTATGTTAAATTTTAAAATCAAAAGCTAAAATCATTTTAAAACTTAAACTTGGAATAGTTATGTCCTTTTGGGCATCAGTTTAGCTGAGCCAATTACATTCGTCGATGTCCTGCATGATTTATTCGGTAAATAAGCTAAGCCTCAAGTATGAAAGGAATTGCATTCTGCAGAAATTAGAGTTGATAAAAGTCAGAATAATGAGCACATAGTGTTAGTGCAGACATTTGGGCTGATTTAACTGATGTGTAATTGCTTAATAGAGTCGCATGAGGTTGAAAGTCTGGATTTGGAACAGTTCAGTATTTGGTGGTTGAAGCACCCACTTGCTTTGAAAATTCCACATGTAGATTTGAGCACATTAAGGGCATGGTGGGGTGGGTGGTGTTTTAATCACTCCTGTGAAAGACTTTAAATATACTCTGCTCTGACAATTTGAGCTAAGAGAACAGTTAAAAGTATAATGTATGAAGTTTGATAATGTTTTCATACTGTTTGAACCTTTCCTAACCAAGCCGTGTTTTACTTGGGTCTGTCAGAGTGGCCCAGTGACATTTAAGGGGGTTTATTGGCCAAGAATCATAACATATTTGCCATCTTTGAGTAGAACTTACAAGAGAAATGGAGAGAATTTTCATTAAAAAACCAAACCAATGTAGTTCTTGGCGTTGAATTTGTATTCATGTAATTTCTCTTGAAATTGTTATCCAAGATGTATCTAGAAGTGAAATTCTTAGTTCTAAAAAGTTTGATATCCTTCTGTGGAAATGATTCGCTTTTCTTACAAATGAAAATTGGGAGGAAAATAGTTCTAAGCACTCTAAAACTTTACCCCAAAGTGCGTTCTTAATAGGCATTGCCCTTGCCAGAATTCCTGGAGACATTAGAAAAAAAATGGCATCTCCAAGATGCTACAGGTGTCTTGTACTACATGTTTACAAATGTGTGATCTCTTTGGTTATATTAAATGTCACACAATAAGGTTTTTCCCAGAATGCAGGACAAATGAAAGGCCGAATGTGTACTTTAATCCTAATATATCCTCTTGGCTTTTTTTCCTACTCCATCCAATATTTCTTGCATAAATAACAGACTTTATTATTAAAGTGGACTTAAATGACAATCAGTAAATATTTTGTAAGTTTATCTTGGCTTCTAATTGCAGATGGCTGTGTGAATCCTGAAGTAATTTACATAATTGTGGAAAGAAATTACAACTGATTTGCTGAATCAGTTGTTTTTCTAACCTCTGGTCAGGATGACTTTAAGACCTGGAAACCTTGCAGTGTCACTTCAGAACAGGATCTGAGTGTGGGACCAGAGCGGCACTGTGCGTCAGAAACACATGGCGGGTGGTGTTGAGGGTCCCACCTAGAGCTCACTCCTATTGCGAAGGTCCAGTTTTTAGGGACAGGCCTCAGCTAGTGGGGTGGGAGTCCTCTGGTCTTGAGGCGAGGGGTGGCAGGGAAGCAGTCATTGACTCACACAGGGTGATTCGCGTCATGCCTAGATACCCAGAGACTGCTGAGCTGCACCATATTAACTCTCCCAGGTCACTCTTTCCCAGGGGCATGGGTAACAGGGCTGAGAAACAATTTAAGGAAATGCTAAGTGATGTATTATTTCTAAATCACCGCATCATCCTGTCTGATGTTGGTGATTCTTTATGGATCACACAGTATACCAAAGTCAACCAAAGCACAACACCTCAGAATAAGGCCCCTTGATGAGAAAGCCACCCCCGCCCAGCATGTTTGCAAAACCTGGGCTGTCTTGTTTTAGGTATTTTGGGTCATAGTTAAATCCAGTTAGGGGCAGCTGGCCCAAACCTGGGGAGGAGCCACCAAAGAGCCACACCCTGTGGGCACTGGGCTATCGAATCCCTTTGCCTTGCCTTGAAGGAACACCTCACACTGTAACTTACGAAGAAGAGATGTGTTTGGCTCAGGGTGCTACAGGCTGTGGGAGCATGGCACCTGCACCCTTCTGGCAAGGCCTTGAAGCCTCCCTGTGGAGGGAGGGCAGGAGGAGCTGCTGTCATGGGGGGAGTAAGGGAGGTACCAGTTTCTTGTACACAGTCACGTCTTGTGGGACTAATGGCCAAGAGTTCACTCATTAGTGGGACAACACCAAGCCGTCCATGAGGGATCGCCTCCGTAGCCCACATGGGGGTCACATTTTCACATGAGATTTGGAGGGGGCGGGCATCCAAGCTATGCCATAGACCTGGGGAATGGCCATGGGGTGGCTTCTCCGCCAGCCCCCTGAGTCACGCCTGCATGGAGTCTTAGGGGCAAGGTCTAGCTGAGACTGGTGCAGTGATGCCGGGACTGGGCCTTAGGACCATGGCGCCTTCAAGAAGAGCCTCCCAAAGCCAAGAGAGCAGAGTTACTAGGACTGCACCTGTTTTGAAAATGGAAACATCTTCCTGCCACTTCACCTGTTAGCCTTCTGCCTCCATTTATTAAACGATGGAAACTTTCCGATACTCGGGTGTCCTCCAGGACTCGGTTGGAGACTGGACGTGTTCTGGCTTGCTGCTCGTGAGTGTCTGTCGCATTTTGCTGGCGAGGCTTTGCTTTCTAGGCTTTCCCCGTCAGGTGGATTTGGTTAGACTTACCGCATACTAAATACTT